CTGGGCCCCTTGATTTGTAGAGCATTTCTGGTTTGATTAAGTCGTACTATAGGAATATCAAAACTGTATTTATTTCTGGTGTGGTGCTCATGGGTTCTGTTACAACCTTCTATGAAGCTTTTGAGATCAGGATTGGCATTACAGTTTAGCGTTTTATATATGTATAATACACATGAGAGAATGTGCAGTGACTTAATGTCTAACATATTCAGGGATTTGAGTAGGGGTACCGAGTGATGTCTGGGGCCAGAATTGGATATTGTCCTAATAGCAGCTTTGTGTTGAGTAATTAGAGGACGTAAGTGATTTTGGGTAGTAGAGCCCCAAGCACAAATACCATAGTTGAGATATGGATAGATAAGGGAGTAATAGAGAGTCACCAGGGCAGGGCGTGGTACATAATATCTGATCTTAGAAAGAATGCCCACAGTTTTTGAAACTTTTTTTGATATGTTTAGAATGTGTCCCTGGAAATTCAGCTTGTGGTCAATGAGAATGCCAAGGAATTTGCCATCTAATTTGTTACAAATTTGGGTATTGTTTATTTTGAGATTTATTTGATTAGAGGATTTATTGCCAAACAGAATATAGAAAGTTTTGTCAATGTTAAGGGTGAGTTTGTTGGCAGTTAGCCACAGATGGACTTTATTTAGCTCAGTATTTACTGTGGCATTTAGAGCAAGGGGATCAGGACTGGAGTAAATGAAGGTTGTGTCGTCAGCAAATAGGATTGGTTTGAGGTGTTGGGAGGCATTTGGAAGGTCATTAATGTAGATGAGAAAGAGGAGAGGGCCAAGTATGCTGCCCTGGGGAACACCAATGTTGATGGGTAGGGTGGGAGAAATTGTATTATTCACAGAAACACATTGGAGCCTGTCAGTAAGGTAGGATTTGAGGTATTGTAGGGAGTGTCCTCTGACACCATAATGATGTAATTTAAGAAGAAGGTTTTGGTGGTTGACAGTATCGAAAGCTTTACGCAGGTCCACAAATAACCCAACAGGGAACTCATTTTTATCAAGAGCTGTATGAATCGAGTTAAGCATACTAATAAGTGCATCGTTAGTGCTTTTTTTGGGCCTGAAGCCATATTGGCAAGGGCTAAGTATATTGAGTTTGGCTAGATATGAGTAAAGCTGCTTATAGATTAGTTTTTCAAAATTTTTTGACAAGTTTGGCAGGATTGATATAGGTCTGTAGTTGTTAACATCTGTGAGATCACCACATTTGTGGACAGGCGTTACTCTCGCTTTTTTTAGAATATCTGGAAAGGTTTGGAGTTCAAGTGACTTGTTGAAGAGCAAAGCAATAGCAGGGGCTAAAGATCTGGAGGCTTTTTTGTAGATTAAAGTTGGTATCTCCTCAAGGGCACCAGACTTGGTTTTAAGGGAAAGGATTATCTCATTGACGTCAATGGAATTAATAGGCTTTAGGTACAGAGACTGGGGATAGTTCCCTGTAAGATAGTCCTTAATGTCAGTACTGGAAGATGGAATATCATTAGCAAGGGATGAACCAATGGAAGAGAAGAACCTATTGAACTCAATAGCAGAATCAGAGGCTGAAAGCTGACCATCGTTATTAGACAGGAGAGTCGGTTTGTTATTTAAAGACTTCTTTGATCCCAATATTTGTGAAATTGTTCTCCATGTTTGTTTAATGTTGCTCTTTATTTGGGTAAATTTATCTTCGTAGTATTTAGTTTTGGCTCGTCTAATTATCTTAGAAAGCAATAATGAGTAATTCTTTGGAGACAATTCCTAACCTATACTTTTTCTCAAGGTCATGTTTTTTATTAATAGATTTAAGTATTCCCTTTGTAAGCCAGGGATTGTTAAGCCTTTTGGTTGTGACTTGTTTTGTAAGTATAGGACAGTGGGTATTATAAAGGCTAAGAGTTTTTTGAAGAAAAGATTGAACTGCTAGGTTGATGTCCTCTATGTTACCTAACTCGGACTCCCAGTTGACATTATCAGTAGCAGTTATAAAATTGTCTATAGCAGTTTCATTGTGTAGTCTAAAACGTATCTCTCTTGACTCAAGAGGTGGTTTGCTAATGTTAGTTAAGAGAAATGTGGGGTAATGGTCTGTAGTGCTATCGGTGATTATACCTGAAGTAAGCGGAGAGGTTATATTTGTCCAGATGTGATCTAGAGTCGTGGCAGTGCTATCAGTGATTCTAGTTGGTCTAGTGATTAAGGGTATGAGGAAGCAGGAATTCATACAGTTGAGGAAGCTAACAGCAGTAGGGTGTTCTGGCTCGCAGAGGTCAATATTAAAGTCCCCTGCGATAATTAGGTGGTTTTTGTTCAGTCTGTTATCAAGTATTAGATTTCTAAGGTTTGAGTTGAATTCGGACACATCAGTGTTAGGAATTCTATAAACTGGACCCACAGACAGGATAGACTCGGCACCCTTGACTCTGAAGCTGGCGAAGATATACTCCCCATAGCAGTCTCTAGTTCTAATTTCTTTTAAGCATGTTAGTTCTTGGTGGTAGTAAAGAGCAGTGCCACCACCTCTCTGAAGTTGACGACAGTTGTGGATTGCTGAGTAGTTAGGCATGTTAAAGAGTTGAGTAGTATCATCTTTCAACCATGTTTCAGTAAGTATAATAAAAGAGAATTTGTTGTCAATAGCTTCAATCAAGGCACTAACATCATCGAAGTGTTTACCTAGGGATCTAACGTTCAAATTGATTACAGAGATATTGTGACTATGAGTTAATACATTGTTTACATCATGTGCTGCAAAATATCTGCAATTTAGATCATTAAAGTGATTATTGTCATAGTGGATAAGAGGTTAAGTTCTGCGTCTATACTTGACTGCATAAAAAAGCTGATTGCAGGAAAAACAAGAAAAACAAAAAGAAAAAATGTACACAATACTGTACCAAACAAGCACAAAAGGGGCTTACAGGGGTACAATGGAGTAAGGGAGTATGGCTAGGCTAGGAAACCTAGGTAATGAATGAGATTAAAGAAAAAACATATAAACATGGACTATACAAAACACAAAATATAGATATACAAAACAAAAATATAAACAAGACTAAGCAATACAAAAAAAATTGAGCAAAAATGAAAAATGAGGTAGATTGCTTACAGGTACTCTCAGGTACACTGTAAGTAACAATAGACAGAAAATATATATCAATATAGAAAAGAATGTCACAATACATTAAGATAAGCAATTACATGAACAGATGAAAAACAAATCTGCTGTAAAATAGGAAGTAATTATAGCAAAACACAATATAATAATATAACAATACAATAAGAGCTTACAAAGTATTGAGTCTGCTAAATTAGAGAATAATTATGGCAAGACACAACAATAAATGCAAGTAAACAAAGAATTGAAACAATTAGAGGTAGAATTAAGGCCACTAGATAGCCATGGAGGATACACAAGTTTGGCGGAGAGAACAAAAAATCAGTAGAGACTGTCAAGATGAATATATAAAAAAATTTGACAAATGATAATTGTAAAGTAAAATAATCTTAAAGATAATAAATTTTATTAAGCTTAGTTTTAACTTATAATTAGTATGAACTTAATTAAAAGAACAAAAATGAGATCAATAATTGATTTCAATAAATGACATAGATCAATACAAATAAATTTAAAATATAAATGGAATAGGGTAAGATTAGATTTAAGAGGTTGTCTTTGATTTAAGAGAGGTCCTAACTCTATATTTCGTTAAACTTTAGCTCTCAACACCTAACATCTACCAAATGCACAGCTCTCAACACCCAGCACAAACCATCCGTAAACGTTCAGCTCTGACGCTTTGGCGCCAATCACTGCGATGATGTGAGTTTTGTGATGGCCCTGTTGTTGCCACTGAAACACCAGACGGAGTACTTGCCTCAAATGCCGCAACCAACGACACGCAGCTGGGTTTAGCCCCTGGCACTTTTTCTTCTCCTAAAATCTACTTCCTCTGTCTCCCCCTGATTCTTCCTCTGTCCCCACTTCCAGCTCGCCCTTCGGGGTGTCTTATCCTGTATCCAGTCTTAATCTGACTGTAACCAGAGCAGTACCTGGGACTTGAAGGACCTCCGGTCAAGAAGTAGTCACGCTGGGTCGTCAGTGTAGAGAGGCTTAGAACTCTAGCTGTGTCACACCCTGAGACTCATCTGTGTCACACCCTGAGACTCATCTGTGTCACACCCTGACACTCCTCTGTGTCACACCCTGACACTCAGAACTGTACATGTATTGTACACTGGTATTGGGACAAAATTAAATGAACTAATATAACTACATTCTTGTTAACTAGATACCTGACTTGTCAGCGTGAGACAGAGGGGTGTGGCACAGCCAGCATGAGACAGGGTGTGGCACGGCCAGCATGAGACAGAGGGTGTGGCACGGCCAGCATGAGACAGAGGGTGTGCCACGGCCAGCATGAGACAGAGGGTGTGGCACGTGCCAGCATGACAGAGGGGTGTGGCACGTGCCAGCATGAGACAGAGGGTGTGGCACGGCCAGCATAAGACAGAGGGTGTGGCACGGCCAGCATAAGACAGAGGGTGTGGCACGGCCAGCATGAGACAGGGTGTGGCACGGCTTGTGTCGTGTAAGAAGCTACAGACGACACAAGCAAAGCCACACCCTCTCTACACTGTAATTTACTGTGTCGGAAGGATTTGATTACAACTGAGAAACATCAGAGTGTGAAGTCTGAGCCCATTAATATGACACCACTATTATTGAATCATATTATTAGTATTTAAAATATTCATCGTTTCTACATAAAATAATTATGTTTTGTGAGTCTTGTCTGTTAGAAAATGGGGGGCGGGGTGACGTGAACATGTGTGTCCCTGACACCTCTATTGGCGTATGAACGACCCCGCACAGGAGCCGAGCGCAGCAACAGGTAACCGCTAACAAGCTAACACGCTGGTTGTTAGTGTATGACGATGGTAGAGCAGTTGTCTCTGGAGGAGGACGTTGCACCATTGTCCTGGAAGGTGGTGTTGGCAGCCATGCTTCATGGCGGGGGTCGGCGGGTGGTGGCGTCAGTGTGGCAGCCGACGCCAGACAAGCAGGTAGTGTGACCAACCCTCGCCACCATGGTGTACCTTAACTTGTGTCCCGTCTTGCTCCTGCAGTTGACCTTTATGGTTGCCACCAGTCAAGGTAAGAATATGTGAACCCACACCTTAAGTGTGCTTGTTAATGCATGTGTCAGCCTTCAGAAATATTGGAAATCCAGCCCGTCCTCCAAATAGAAACTTAAGTGATTCCATGCACCCGCCAAACCCCCTGTCTATGAATGGAAAAAACGGTTTACACGACTCGACAGATTTCACTAGAACATTTCCGGAACAAATGCTTCACCGATTAATTTTGTTCAAACCACTACGCTGTAAATGCTTCACCCGCGTACTAAAATAACAATCGCCAACAGAACCTAAACACCTAACTGTACATATGCTAATATTAACATGGGAACTCTAGTGTTGATTGACCAGCATGTTAATACTTATGAAAGTCTGTGGGGTCGACAGCTGGATGAAACAATAGTAGAGGACGGGTTGCACAAAAGCTTAAACCCAAACTAACCACAGATTCCAAAGAGTTGGCAACAACCCCAACCCTAGATAACTGCACCCATCCCAAATGATCACTTACGGAAGAAATTAAATTTCTTCCGCAAGTGTTCGCAGTTAGCGATGAATATTGCATTACTTATAAAGTGTCCAGTCGGAAATGGTACCCTAGACAGCCATTTACTACTTTCTTAAAAGAATGCCACATAATTAGGATTCCTCCCTTATTCTTGACTAATTCTATAGCAGTCTTAAACCTATAAATACCTCGCTCCTAACTAGTCTTGCATAATTTTTTACCTGCACTGACCCAAATGAGGAGTTGGTTCACATTACAAAAACAAAATTGTTGACTCTCTCATTCTTCCTCCCAGGATAACAATCTTAAAACTGTTCCCCGTATTTCTGGCAGTTGAAATGCCTCCTGATAATCTGGCAACCAAAATTTAGCCTGGCTACTTTACTTTGTAAGCATCTTGAGGGACAGGCACTCCCTTCGTTGTCTTCCCTGTCGAGCGAACTGCAGGCTCGCTACAGCACTAATCTTCCAACACAAATGAGTGGAAAGTTAGACATCGGTAGGCGGCCTTGCCAGTCTCTTAGGGCCCCTGTCTTTTGAGACGCTCAAAAGGCAATAAAATTTGTTTATACTAGTCTCTTTCTTGTAATTTCTGATATAGTAACTCCTCCCGTAGCGAATCAAACTGTCCTCAAAGCTCCAAATGTTCATCAGTGCCTTCACTACACCTTCACATTATGATGGGACAATCGGAGCTCCAGGTAACACCCTCTCGCTGTGATTATTTATTTATTTATATACACGGTACATTGGGTTGGTGAGAATACATAGCATATAGTACAGTAATTGCACTCTTGTAAAGCCCACTAGTACGCGCAGCGTTTCGGGCAGGTCCTTAATCTAACAGATCTGCAGATGTTTTATTTGCTGAAGGCTAGAATTGACATTAAACCTAATTCAGGTTCTAATTTACTTTAACTTGGGAGTAACTAAAGGTTGTTTGGCAACACATTAAATGTTTTTTTGTAATTACAGGCGCGCAGTGTTTCAACTGCACGGGCGTCAATGGTACTCACTGTGGTGACCCCTTCAACGGTACACTTGTTGACAAGGAGACTTGTAACACTAAAGAGGAGACTGCTGGCTTTACGGACGCCGTTGTCTACATCTGCTACAAAACAAAGGAAAAAAGTTAGCTACTGATTTTTGTTAACCCCCTTTTTGCTCCCCATTCGCACAAACTCTTCTCTTGACAAAGTAGTAACTACAATAGTCACTACAGGATCTGACTTCTAGTTTGATGGTGCATTATATGAATTTTTTACTTTAGTAAATTTCAGTATGGAAATACTCTATGCATTTTAGTTTTTTGAATCAAATAGTTTGCATTAAATCACTTTGCACTGTCCTGAAAGTGAACCAGTTATGACAATTTATAAAATATTCTCCCCCGGCTTGGCGCCTTTTATATTTTAGTTTAACATTTATCTTGGCTATTAAAGCTTTTTTAGTGTTCTAATGCTTTATGTATAGCCAATCCTGAAATTGTTCATTGTATAAACATGAATAGCTATTGCCCTATAAATAGCTCGTGGTCTAACATGTATTCAAATTACTTTTAAAAGATTTAATTTTTTTTTCTTTACTCTCAACCCAAAAGTAGGCACAACGGTATATGAATTTCTCCTAATCCTTGAGATTGATATCAATAATTAAAACTTATATCTAGAGCTTCAGACACTTCCAACGAAATTGATATTGGTCTTTTGTAGTGAATTCCACATGGTGGCCATTCCCCCAGGCATTATAAGATTTCATCCTAAACACGTTAGGATTACCGATGCGAAGAGTTTCACTTTCCATTTAATAGAACTATAAAATATTCCTCTGGACGAGGAAAACGTCCTTTAGTGGCCTTGCCAGACCTACCAGTTCAAAATTTAAAGCATTATGCTGTAAAAGTTTTGTGTTCGCCACTTTGCCGTGGGCTCTCGGTGTAGATTTTGTCTAAAAGTACATTAAAGTAAATGGGTTAATAAAATCTACACTAAAAGGTTGTAATTGAAAGACCCACTTACACTAATGGGGGAAGGGGGACCACATTTGCTAAATTGTTAAATATTCATTTAAATTTAAGGGTTAGTGGGCATTATTTACACTTTTTAATGTTCCCAATGCCTTGCAAGTAAAGTGCTAATGTTGATCACTGACCCATTAACTCAAGTAGGGGTAGTGAATAGTACTGTTGTAATTTAATATAATTAAGAATATAAAATCATAATTACCTCATCACGGTTGATCTTGCCCTCCCAATATTCAACACCCCCCCCCCAGACAGACACACACACACAGAGCAAAGCTCTTTGTGGGATTGGTTTCCTTTCCTGTGGGAAAGGGACCAAAGAGCCAAAGCTCAACCCCCGCAAGCACAAATAGGTGAGTACACACACACACAGATAAACTCCCTGGTACCTCTTTACTACTGGGTGAAAATATTCGGCGACTTTTGGGAGAGGGAAAACGTGATGACTTTGTATTTAATGCAGTATTCTGGGTACTGAAGTTGTTACAATGTTCATAAACATAAAGTACCCCTCTGCCCCCCCCCCCACCGTTCAGTGGTATTATAATATAGTTGTAAGATTCAAATTAAGTGTGCATTTAACCAGAACTTAAATTGTCTGCAGTTGAAGGTGGATGGCTGTACAACAGAGGGTGTACATGGAGCGGTCAATACGGGTTGTACACTGACAATTGTGTCTTTGTCGGAAACGCCACCTTTGATGAATTCTGCATGTGTAAAGGTGACTGGTGTAACCCTGCTGAGAGGGCGAGAGCCAGTGCTCTCATTGTTGCCTCATACCTGTTGCTTGCCTACCTCCTTCTGGGGTGAGACGGGACCCATAATTTTATCAGCCTTTACAAGTAGGCTAATTACTACATCGTAATCTTTTTCTATTTTAATAAACTTTACCTCTGCATCACGTGTTATTAACCTATTTTACATAACTTCGACCAACACAAGTTGATAGCATTAGCTGGCCTTCATTGTAAATATATGCCCAGGTCTCTACACAATGAAAAAATGAATTAAGGTGAGCTATTGGTTTAGTACCCACTGAAGTGTTTTGCCTTGTGGTGGGGGGTGGACGACTGAATGTTATACATGCAAAATTAAATACGCTCATATTTGTCACTGAACTACCTGCTGGAGGAGTCTGGGAGCTACGGCCAGTAGACTCCCTTGGGAAGGGGAAACTATCGCCTATGGCAAGCACTGAAATTGCGCACTTGTCCTAACTTCTGACGCCCCTCTGAGATCTTGAGCGTTATCAAATATCGGTAAAGTTAATTTTATAGAAAATTAAAATTGCACCTTACTTTGTGATGCAAATACCCCTCCGTGGTTCCTCCTTGCCGTGGTGAAGGGCTCGCGTACACCTCCCTGGGACCGGTGTGGGGTTGCCTTTGCCCCCTCTTTAGGTGGTAAACGTGCTGAAGGGCACCACGTAGGGGCCTTGTGAGCCATCGGACCACCCGCTGAAGGGGCCGCCCTGAGTGGATGGTTGGGTGTACAGACTGTGGGGAATGGGGTTTTAGCACCAGTGTGGGAGATTTGACGATGTAGTAGGACTCTCCTGTTGAAAAAGGGGAGCACTGCTGGGGACGACACACACTTCCTGTACTGGCCCGCGCTCGGCTGCCCTGGTAGGTGGCATTCCTTGGTTCCAGGTCCCAAACTTTTGAAATGGTTTGCTGCATGGATGACTACACGATTTCTCTTAACCAGGGTCAGGGGTGGGCGACCAGGCTCCAGAGTTGGACCGTCCTGGAAGACCGGGCTCTGTAGCCCCCGCTGCAGGGCCCGGTTTAGATTCAGATTCAGATTCAGATGTTTATTCAGGTAAGGTATATACATACAAGTGATGTTACATTAAAGGAATGATATATAGATAGAGCTAGTACATACAATGCCTAAAGCCACTATTACGCAATGCGTTTCGGGCAAGAAAAACATTAATATCTAGAACTTAATACTAATTGAGCATAAAGAATAAAAGGTGTTGAGAACAAAACAAATAAAGATAAAAAAAAGGGGGAACATGACTGAAAAAGCAGCACAAATACAATAGGTTGACAGTGTTGATTAAAAAAAAAAAAGAAAATAACAGACATGGGTTGACAATTGAGGAGTGAAGTAGATTACAGGGAATTTATTAGGTAGTGTTTAGTTTTTATCTTAAACTGGTTGAGAGAGGTACAGTCTTTAACATGGTTGGGAAGGTCATTCCACATTCTGGGCCCCTTGATTTGCAGAGCATTTCTAGTTTGATTAAGACGTACTCTAGGAATATCAAAACTGTTTATTTCTGGTGTGGTGCTCTGGGGTCCGGGGTGGCGGGGCTGCCCTCCCCTCCACCCCATTGAGCAAGGGAGCAGAGTCCTCTCGACCCTCTCCTATGAACATGCTAGCATCCCAGTATAATCAACTCAAGCGAGCTTCCGGTCCCTCGCCGGAATTCACTAACTGGACCGAGAATCGGTGTCAGTTTAGGCCCAAGTTTAAATCAGTTTAGGCCCAAACCGGACTCTTCCTCCCTGCTCCCCTCCCTCTGTGGTTGGGTTGAGCCCCAAGCCTGCTGTGGTGACCGCCTCGTCCCCTGGCACGGCTCCATCTCTTATTGTGACTACTGCGCCTTATGACCCGCCTCTCTAAAGGTTTTCATCGCCGTCCCCGCCACGGCCGCTCTCGTATGCCCCCTTCCCATACTCGTTCATACCATACTTTGTTTAGTCCTACGTGGACTAAGTACTTTGACCTCCATCCTTTAGATTCCACCCCTCCTGACGATTTTTCCCTTCATAGGCATCTTGTGGATTCAGTAGGTGCCTGTTATCTTCAACCCCACCCGTCTTGGTACCCGTGTCGTCGTTGTTGTTGCTGCTGCTCAGGATGCAGCCACTCGCTTGGCCGCCTTATCCTGCATTGGCGAGACCCCCTGTTAGTCTCCAAGAACGCTCGGTTAAATGCCAGTGTTGGCACTGTTCTCCAGCACCATGTTGCAGCCGGTGTTTGGAATCTAAGACTGCCACGAGGATATCGAGCATATCCTCGAGGCCCAGGGTCATTGTCCTTCATGTGGATACGTTTACTCGTCCCCCTCGTGGTCATCGCCGTCTGCCCCTTCGGGTTGTGAAGATTACCTATTGATGGTAGGACCCTTCTGCCCTGTCATTCTTGCTGGTGCCAGATGCTCCGTTAAAGAGTATATTCCATCTCCTCGGCTCTGCAAAAAGTGCTGGATTTTGGGCATGGTGCTCTCAAATGCTCTAGTCCTGTCTCCCTCTGTCTCATGTGTGGAGGTGAGGGTCACTCTAAGTTGGAGTACTTCTCCCCAGGCCCGCTGCCTAGATTGCGGTGAGGGCCACCCTACCTTCTCCTGCGCGTGTATAAGTTACAAACTTTAGACAGCTTTGCTTTGTGGTAATCTCTCTTCCTAAAAAGCTTCCTCTCTAGTCGTTCCTTTAGAGTGAGGTTTGGTACTGCTCTCTCTGCCTCTTTTTGGCAATACGAAGATGTACCCCAGGGTAATATTATGAGCACTACTCTTTTTTCCTTGTTGCCCTCAATGGTCTTCTTTCCTCCCTTCCCTCTGGCATCTTCTCATCGCTCTGTCGATGATCTTACCCTTTGTTGTCGGGATGATGACTCGCCTTTTCTTCAACGACGGCTTCAACTTGCGATTGATGCCGTGTCGTCTTGGGCCATCAATCATGGTTTCATGTTCTCTGCAACTAAGACTTGTGCTATGACTTTTACTCGGAAGCAGGTCGTTCTTCGTCCCTCTCTTTATGGGCATCCCCTTGTGTACAAAGATTCCGCTAAGCTTTTAGGATTAACCTTTGACACTCGTTTGTCTTGGACACCCCATATCTCTTACCTCAGAGTTGAATGCTTTAAGGCTCTTAACCTATTTAAGGTCTTGTCCCATACTTCTTGGGGAGCGAATAGGCGCACGCTCCTCTTTACATTCTTCTCTCGTACTGTCCAAACTTGATTACGATTGCCCTTGTTTACTCGTTTGTTTCTCCTACTCTTTGCAGTCTTGATGCTCTGCACCATACTTAGTTATGCGTCAGCCTTTCGTTCCTTTCCTACCCTCAGCCTGTATATTAAAACTGGCGTCCTGTATCAAAGACCGCCGTGATCGCCTTTTTTTTTTTTTTTTGTATATATACAAGAGTTGTTACAGTCTTGTACAGCCACTAGTACGCGTAGCGTTTCGGGCAAGTCCTTAATCCTATGGTCCCTGGAATACGATCCCCTGCCGCGAAGAATCGTTTTTTCATCAAGTACACATTTTACTGTTGCGTTAAACAGAGGCTACAGTTAAGGAATTGCGCCCAGTAAATCCTCCTCGGCCAGGATACGAACCCATGACATAGCGCTCGCGGAACGCCAGGCGAGTGTCTTACCACTACACCACGGAGACTTTTGTCTTTGCTACCTTGCGAGGTCCTTACAACATCCTCACTCTCGCCTATGTCGTGCTTTGACTTTTACCCCTCCTGTGGTCCCTGCTCTCCTTCACCATCTCCCTCTCTTTCTGTACGGTTGTCTCGCCTACAAACTTCTCTTTCGGTTAGTGTTACCATATTTCTCCGTGTTCGGTTCTTGCTCCCGTGGAGGGTCCCTCTTCCTAAATTTGGTAAAACCCTGACCGTTGTTACTAAAGCTTTTACCCTTCCTACAGTTCTGAAACGCCCTTTCCTTGAACACTTTTCTTCACACTCCCGCTCCATTTCCATCTTCACCGATGGGTCAAAGTGTGCAGACGGTGTAGGCTACTCTTTTATTTTTCCTGACTACACCTATATATGTTGCCTGCCTCCGGAGACTAGCATCTTCACGACAGAACTAGATGCTATTCTCTCTGCTCTTCATCAACTGTTTTCTCGCTGTCAATCCTCCTTTGTTTTTGTAGTTGACTCTTGCAGTGCCCTCATAGCTCTGGAGTCCTTTAATCCAGTCCATCCGGTGGTAGTAGAGATTCAACATTTGCCGTTTCTTATCTCCAGTAGATTTAATGCGGTGTAGTTTTGCTGGGTTCCCACCCATATTGGTGTCCTTAAATGAGCGTGCGGACGTCGCCGCTAAGGAAGCTATCCGCACTTGTCCCATCTCCCGTGAAGGTATTCGTTATCTTGAGGTTATCTTGAGATGATTTCGGGGCTTTTTAGTGTCCCCGCGACCCGGTCCTCGACCAAGCCTCCACCCCCAGGAAGCAGCCCGTGACAGCTGACTAACTCCCAGGTACCTATTTACTGCTAGGTAACAGGGGCATTCAGGGTGAAAGAAACTTTGCCCATTTGTTTCTGCCTCGTGCGGGAATCGAACCCGCGCCACAGAATTAAGAGTCCTGCGCTATTCACCAGGCTACGAGGCCCCTTTACGTTATTCCGACCTTTACCGTTATTCATGCCTCCATCCTTGTTCGTTGGAAGGGTTGTCGGTCTTCTGTTACTGGTAACAAACTGCGTACCCGTAAGAGTCGTGTCCCCCCTTGGCCTTCCTTCCTACCACCATAACCGGCGGTGGGAAACGGCTCTGGCAAGATTGTTTATTGAACACACACACTTAACTCATGGGAATTTAATAGTGCTGCCATGCACCTTATTGTCCCCTCTTATGCTCGTACATATCCTTGTTGAATGTCCTGACTTCCAGGCCGAATGTGTCTTGCATCCCAACCGTCCCTTGCAGTCACTTGTCCTTCAATAGAATTCTTGGTGCATCGGATACCATTGATGTCGTTTGCCTTATGTGTATGTTCTCTTATTCGCATCCTTAGTGATAGGGCACTAAATATGATTATCCCACACATTTGGTGGTGCTACATAGCCTTTCCATCTTGGTGCCTTCTTTTGATATTTGCCTTCCTTACCCAGGCTCGTGGTGGGGGGCAACCAGACCCCCC